CATTTCCTTTTCCCACTTCCCAGGTCATCTTAGAGCAGCTTCTGGAGTATGTTGGCATTGTCTGTGCATTACAAAGCAGCCTTTGAGATTTCTTGCCAGTGTATAGTCAGTATAGAGCGGAGCTTAAATACTTCTCCTTAGTTTCCAGGAACTGCTTTTGCCTTTCTTGTGGCTGCTTCTTGGTAGAATCTTCTAAGTATTTACTGACCTATTGGTGCAGTCATCTCGTTGATCCCTATCCACTGTCATTTTCATGTCGGGATCCTTGTTAGTATTTTAGTTTTCAAAGTCATCCAGCCCCAGTTCATGGTAGTTTCACCACTGCACAGAAAACACTGCACTTTGTGTCATCCTCAAGCCTTGTCCACACACTCCTACTGTCTATGTTAAGGCCATCCCTTCTGTTATCAACCGTGAGCAGTCAGAATCAAGCCTGGAGGGAGCTCAGCTCATAACATCTCTCCAGTGAGATGCTTCTCATCCACAGCTTGGTTCTGCGGTCACCAGACGAAGGTAGCCATGTCTCCCACTAGCCTGGTGAGGCTTCAAGGGAGGGACAAACCCTGTCACCAGACACAAAGCAGCTGGCTGTAATCAGCAGGTTCACCAGGGTATGTCAGAGCAGCTCAACACCAGCTACCAGTACGCAAAGCTATGAAGATGTGTTATCTATGGAGAACTTACATGTCTCCTGGTGTGGGTCTCAGATCCCTGTCCGATTCCTGGACATTGCTGGGTCAGGATCCTCATGCTTCTCTCTGCCTCAGCTCTCCATCAGCCACCCTCTAGGCTCTTGCAGCTGCTTATGGCCCTCTTCTTCCGTCCAGTCACAGGTTTCATCACTTCTGCCATGGACCAATGATGCTCACTTGGTGTTTTCCCCTGCCTCTGCAGTTCTCAGCCCTGTGAGTGCTGTCACCACGCGGCACAGTGCAGGTGATGCTCGGGCTGTTTTCTCACTTCCTTGCTGACAGCTCTCAGGCAGGGCAGCCTGGGGGCCTGAGGCACCGCTGAGTACCAGTGCCCGTACGAAGGGCATCCCCCCTCGCAGTGGGCTCCAAAGGACCTTTTACTGACACTGGTGTCTACCACACCTTGGCTGGAAAAGGGATTTTCTTAGTGAAAGGAGCCAGTGAGGCAAAATACTCCTGTCAGGTGAGGTACCAATTAACTTTAGCCTTTCTGTTTGTTCCCTCCCTTTTTGTGTTATTCAGATGTGTGGTGAAACTGCATGTTTTTCAGATCTGAGCATAGCAGAGCTGTTACTGGCCAGACCCTTCCCTTTCTTCCCCTATCCTAGAGAAGGGACTGTGTTGGTCTCTGCCCCCGATCCTGTTCTGTCGGACTTTTTAAAAAACCTTGCTGCGGTTGTGAGATTTTATGTGCCAATTCCTATAATATTCTGGGCTTCTTGGGTTCCTCATCCTTACTGAAATCCGTAACAAAGTAATCAGGTAGTTCTCAGGACATACCCAGACAATTTTTCTGGTTTTATCAGTAGCAGTACTGGGTCATCTCACTGTAATCTGTAAGTAGCTTTTCATATCTAAGGGAAGAATTTGCTAAGATCTGTTTGATCTTTACACTTCTTTATCTTTGAGACTTACGTCTGTCTGCACAATTGTTTTTCCTTCCCTTGTAAGCTCTGCTTGAGGTTATTTCCCAGCCAAAGAAAGCCCTTCTCATGAGGCTTTCCTGTGCTCCCAGTACAGATTGCTAACAGACAGGACATCTCAGGTTTGATGGGCTCCTGCCTCTTTCCCCTGCCGGGGAAGATCTCCGTTTCCTCTGCCTCTCAGAGACTGTGTCCTGCTGGCTACAGTCGCTGACCCATCGCAGTGGGACAGGGCCTCTGGCAAAGTGAGAGTGGTACCAGTACCCCCTGCGCACATGTGATGGGGACACAGAACACTGTGTTACCCGGCGGCATTTGGGTTCTGCAGTGCCTCTGCCCCGTGTGGGTTTTTTTTTTCCCTGGCTTTCTCACGGAAAGATGTAATATTGCAACAGCAGATCTTGACCAAAACAGAACTACAGGGCTTGGAGCAGAACACGTCAGTCTTATTTTTAGCATGCAAAGCCTGTGAAACGGCAGTGTTAGGCTAACTGCACCAACCTCACACCATGACCAGCCCTGACTGCTGAGTCTGTTTCCCCTTTCCCCTTCCTTAGCACCACACAGGAACTGAGCCATGGCAGACAATGCCGGCGCTGGGCTCTCTGTGCCGTAGCCCTCGCTGTATGCCTGCAGCATCCACGCTGAGGGGATCGGCCGCATACCTCTGTGCCGATGTGCTGGGGAGGGCATGGCAACACCTCTGCTTCCCAGCTGCCTACCGCTGCTTCCGTGCTTGCAGCATTCCCTGGAGACTGTCAGGCAGTTCTCCCGATTGGGACAACTGCACTGGGAAACCAAAAATGCAGATACCCCTCCAAAACCTGAAGGTAGCACCCGACTAGCAGAACTCCCTGGTGTGTGTCCTTCAGCCCTGGGGAGCGCTGCTGGAGCCAGACCTCTGGTGAGAGCTCAGGTGTCAGGCCTGCCCAAATGCCACCAAACAGCAAAATACTGTCTTATGCCAGCCCCTGTCTTCCCTGCTTAGAAGGACCAAGAAGGTGGAATCAGATGGCTATTCACTTAGAAGCAAGATTCTGGATTACCTTTTAGGCTTTTCCTTGCATGTGGTGGTTTGGTTTTGGTTTTTTGTTCCCCTCAAGCCTAAATTTTGACTGCAGCATCAATTTGCTCATTTGAATTTTAAGCCATTTTTAGCATCTCTTTCTCTTAAGGGACAGAGTTTACATCTAGCTGAACCATTAGCAGAATGCAGTGGTTCAGCCCTGCTTGTCGGACCTGCTCTCGACTATCATTCGCCAGACTCCCATGCTAGGAAATGGGAAAGATTTGTGGATAACCTTGTCACTGTCTTCATGGATCGCTATTTCAGTGTCACATGTTGGCTGGTAGTTTGTTGTGGCCCAGGTGTTGATAACTCATCTGTTCCTTTCACTGGGAGAGCTCAGGGAGCTGAGGTTTTGTTCAGACTGAAGGAAGGTGCCGGAAACCAATCATTAACATAATTATAACTTTACATCTAAACCAGATAATGATTTCTGTCCAAGGTAGCATATATGTCTTCAAGTAAGCAAAAAGTTCCTTGCTTGTGTTTGGGTTCACTGTAAACATCTGTTGTAAAGCAGATCTTATATCATGGTAGCTAAGTCTCCTCTCACAATCCCCAGTGTAGGGTTAGAGTTAATCACAGAGGACTGATGTATAATGGCAATGAATGAATATTTATTTATAGATGTAGTACGATGGGATAGCTTTATTTTCACTTGAAAAAGAATGTTTCCTTTTTTTTTTTAAGCATTTAGTACAAGCAACAAACAAATGTTACTTAATGATGACAGGGATTGTGAGGTCAATAAATTTCCACTTTACAATAAGAAAAAAAAAAGCTTAATTTTTAAAATTTAGGATATGAATGCTGGGAGGCCTCAGTTTGCTTCCTGAAAGAAAAACACATTAATTTCCTACAGCTCTATATGCAGTAAGACTGGTTATATATGGGAATGCCAACTATAAATCCTTTAGCACAGCTTTTGTACTGGTTTTGGGACTGGCAGGGAGTGAGTGGCTGTGTGGTGCCTAGCTGCTGGCTGGGGTGAAACCATGGCAGCTGTTTTGTTTAATAGAGTGTCTTGTCTGTGATCCTTCCTTGATTTAAAAATTATTTGCTTGGGTAAGAAGAAAGTGCTCTGAAATTCTTTGGTTACAAAGCCATGCAAATGGCTTCTCAATACCTGTTAGTATTTGCTGTATGATGAGGCCTATGAGGCCACACGCACAAGAACATTGCTGTTTTGTATTTCAGTGTAAATGACCTAATTGGACCCCAGTGTAAATTGGACAAGGTACCCCATGTTAACAGGGAGAAAAACAAACATGACTGGGTTTGCAAAAGGAGTAAGTTGATTGATGTGAATCAACCTTAATCTTCTTTTCAGAAGAATAAAAAAATTCATAATAGTCTTTTTGGAACAGGCCTTCATTATAACCAATGAGATGCAAAATCCCAGAAGTGGATCCAAGAGCCAGAAGTGGCTTTGTGCTGGTTTTGAAAACAGGAGTGTTTTTCCTTGCTGAACACCACTTGCCTGGACACACAAACGATGCCTGTTACAAAGATTGATGGCACACCATAAAGGAGATTGGGCTAACTGGGACCCTAAGCCTCTTGCTCTCCTAGGATAGTTAATTGAGTGCATTTATTGGCCACTACAATGGTGACAGTACTAGCACATCTCCTTAAGAACAGATTTTTTTTAAGATCAGGCATTAATTGTTTCTTGTATCTTTTCCTGTCTTTGAAAAGAGACTGTAAAAGGCAGAAGGAGACCCGAACAGTGTGCAGTGATTAAGTTGGTCACATACACACATGGCCCTTTTGCTCTGCTCTTGCAGTGAAATACCAGGGCATTAAATAGTACAGTAGAGAAGAAAATTGGGACAAAAATGATCAACTGAATGACCTGAGTAGTTTCATCCATTTTTATGGCACAGTTCCTCACTGCAGCTTCCATCAGTACTGACACAAAGCGGGTAGATCTGGTGTTTGGATGGGGAGTACTTTCTGTGATGGGAACAGGCGTTTCCTATTTTGTTTGGCCAGTGTCTAGACACTGATTTCAACATGTGATCTGCAGACACTAGAAGGCGGCAGGCCACCTGTAGGAGAACTATTGCTAAGCTGTCATTAAGAAAGTTAATTATCTGCAGGTTTAAATGAGCAGGATATGGGTTTGCATTCCCTTGAGGAATTTTTAGGGGTTTGCAAGTCAGAAGACACTGAAAGTCAAGGACCATGAAGCCAACCGAGATACAGCTCTCATACGCATTTCAAAAACTCGATAATGTTTCCCATGCTGACTTTAAGTTGATGAAATGCCTATGTGGTAAAATGTTAGATGACATTTCTATGCAGATAAGCATGTAGTCACGCCTTGGCACTGACGCCCCTCTCAGCCCAGGTTTCTCCATGGGTCACTTCCTTCCGGTGCTCTAAGACTGTTTTGAGCTCTCTGTTGCCACTTGCCTGTGGGGTGGGAGGATATGTGGCGCGTAGCCAGCAAGCACAGGTATTATAGAGGAAGTTGGTACCTGGAAGTCAGACATTGGAACTGATGGCTGGTCCAGGATCCAGCTAGGATAGATCAAGGCTCTCTGTATGGAGAGAGTTAATGCATGGAGAGAGTTAAACGTCTCAAAATGAGAGCTGTTAACTCTCCCTGTGCACTGTCTAAGTAGCTCAAAGAGAAAAATATCCCAAATCCAAAGCGGTGCTTCATGACACAGGGCAATGCCGAGAAGCCCGCAGCTGTGAGTCTGCCCTGTCTCTGCAGAAGAACCTTACACACTCCGCTCTCACCAAACCTCCCGTGAAAACTGTTCATGGATGATGAGGGATGGATCAGGGCTGCATCTGCTTTGTGCTGCTGACTGCTGTTTTCTGGGCATCAACACCCTGCAGCATGTGCCTGCGGCGACTCGGGCAGGTGTAGTCACCTCTCACCAGACAGGCACCCACGGAAGGTCTGAACCCGTTAAAGCAAAGCAACAAACCTGTGACCAGGGCTTAGGGCAGTCTCCTGGGGGACATCAGGTATGCACAAATGCCAGGGCATTGCCACAAGCTAATACAACGTTACATGGCAGGAATGGGGCAACTGTCGGACTCCTGCAGCTCACTCCACGCACAGCCATAGCTGCATCCTGGCAATAGCTGCAAGCTCTGAAATTACATAGCTTGGCAGGAAACTTGCTGAAGGAGCGAATTCTGTACGAGCAGCGCACGTGTATTAGGTTTGGCAGTGTAGTGCAGGGGTTTGTTTTGTTTTTAAGGGATCATACACAGTACTAGAAGTGCATTTGTGTATTGCAGTAAGGGTGTTCAGTTTCCTATGTTTAGATGCATGCTATGTACAAATAAGTACATGGCAGAAGCAATGGCCTTATCATCTATTCTCCGTACCACGTGGCTCTCCCTCTTGACCAGGAGGTGCCTGAAACTGCGATACAACAATCCAAGAAAGTAGTCAGGGCTGGAGTCGAGTCACTGAGGACAGAAGGACAAAATTCAAGTTAATATCAGACCCCGTAGAGGGGGTTGCCCCTTTTTGCAGGTATGCCTATACCTGCAATGATTGCGAATACTGCAGGTGGTCCCATTCCCTCTGCCTCAAAACTTCAGCAGCACTGTGGCTCTTAGCACCTATAATGCACTACACCTTGTTGTTTATGTCATGACTTGATCTGTGGGTGGCTGTGACTCTTGGCTTTGTTTCATCTTGGACCTCATTGATATACAAGTGGGGATCAGGGAAGGAAATTCTGGAAATTCTTTGGCTGCAAAGTAATAGCAAAATGCATCCAAACAACAGTTAGAATTTGCTAAGCATGCACAGATCTGAATAGAGGCTCTAACTGCCGAGACCAAAGAACAAGCTCTAGCAGCATCCACTACAAACCGCAAGAGCAGTGTGATGTAGAAAGGTGAAAAACATATGATGAACACACACAAATTCACGGATACAATGTGGATTGCTTTCTGGATTAATGTTGTCTCATGAGGGCTTGTGGCCATCGTCTTTCTGAGACATCTGATGACTTGTACTGAGCAAAAAATTACAATCAGTAAGGGAATAAAATACCCAAAGATGGTGAAGAATAATGTTAAATAATTAGGTTCATTAGATTCTTTCCGAAAGCAGAATTGCTCCTTTCCTGCATGAAAGCTTGGACGGAAGTAGGAATAAATGCTCCATGATATCCAAAGAATCCCACAGGCAGAAGCTGATTTCAGCGGGGATCGAAGAATCTTTGCTTTTAGAGGAAACTTGATGGCAATGTATCGATCAATCGCAATCAGGGTGATGATAAATATGCTCATAGGCATGTTTACAAAATAGATGTTCAGTATGGTGAAACACAGATTGTCTATAGGATATTCATACTTGGTAAAATATATCAGGAAAGGCAGGGCAAAGAGCAGGAAACTGTCCGCGACCATGAGGTTGATCAGGTACACCCTGGTCTCAGTCCACCTCTTGATTTTGTAGCAGAAGACCCAGAAGGCAATCATGTTCAGTGGGATCCCTAAACAGAACACTGGGACGTAGACGATAAGTTGAAATAGCACAATGCCATCCTGCAGCGTTGTGTTATCTCTGGTGCAGTTCTCCATGCTGGGCTCTCTGCAAGAAAAGGGTGCAGGCGTGAGACCGAGCTCGGGGACAGGTCCTCTGGGCAGTGCCTCACTCTCATGGCTCTGTGGCTCCTCGCAGCCCTGCATTGCAGTTGTAGGCAGACCGTGGAGGGGCTCGGTGGCTCCTCAGCACCGTCTGTCCCAGGGCCATCCAGGTAGCACTGTCGCTCGCCAGCAGCTAACACGAAAACACAGAGGCGACCCTCTCTTGTAGCTATTACAGGGTTAAGCCTGCCTTGCCTTCCATCCAGTCCTGGTTTGCACAGTTTGGGTACTGGCAAAGGGTCTGCAAAGCAGCGTGATGATGTGGTGGTCCCTTATCTTGGCTGCTGCTGTGGTTATCGGAGAGCCACTGGCTTTAGGGCAGCCTGAAGCAGAGCCAGGCAGCATTCCCCCTTTGCCTTGCGAGGACGATGCTCTGCTGCTGAAGCCGCCCCATGGGTTTGCTCTGGGTCTTGCCAGGCCTGTGAACCTCCCCAGGACCTGAGCCCTTCCAGCTGTAAGGTGGCTCAGGCAGCTTTACTCCTGGGGGTGTTGGGAATGCTGCTGCAGGCTAGTGGGTGGGTGCTGCTGCCTCAGGCTGCCCCCAAGCACGAACCCGCTCCTGTCACTGCGGGATGCTGGGGAGGAATAGCTCAGCATGAGGACCACCAGCCCTAGCAGAGGACAGGCCTCCAAAAAGAGGAAGGAAAGTGAGCACACGTGTCTAACCTCAACCTTCAAAGATAGGAAGCCAAAATGTTGCTAGAGCAGAAAACACAAATCCAAGAACTTAGTCTATCTCCTGGTATTCCTTTAAATATTTCAGGGCATCTGCTTTCAGGAGGCTGTGGAGGATAAATCAGACTTAGACTGCAGCTCATGAAGGATGTGTTTACAGTGAGGCAGGAAAGGAAAACACACAGATTCTAATAAATACATTGCCTTATAAGTCAGGGGCTTCTAAGCATCAACATCTTAACTGTAGTGAAGAGGTCCGATTGCATGAACTAAGTGAAGTGTTTTTAGTGTCTGAGCCTGGGAGATGGGTCTGGCAACCACCTGCCCTAGCACCAGAACTGGTATGGCATTACTGAACTGCAGGAATACAGTCATTTTTAGGGTGGAAGTTATACAGCTGGTGTCCTGGCTCTCTTGGGCTTTCAGCCTCACAGGTCCTTGACTGTACTGTGATCCCCCCTACCCTGCAGCCCTTCCCTGCCAGCCTTCTGCCATCACTGCAGTGAAACAGCCAGTGTCTGCTTGCATAGCACTGCCCTGAGGAGCAGCTGAGCCCGCTGGGCTGGGCATCCCAGCCCCATGGAATACTCCCCCCCCGTAAGCACAGAGTTGGTTCCCAAGGTCCCGTGCCGCAGCGTGCCTGGAGCTGGGTGTCTCTCTGCTCGCGGAAGAGGCATGGTAAGAAGCACTGGTAGGAAACCACAGCGAGGGATGAAGACTCCCCCTGAATAACATGTGGCTGCAAAGCAGTGAGATGTAACGGCTGAGAAGGCAGGAGGAAACTGAGGCAAGAAGCAGGCGGCGGTGGCTAGTGCTTCAGTGAAGGGGTGAGAAAGCACCCCCCGAGGAACTGAGCAGAGCACACTGCCACACACCGGTGCGGTGAGAATTCAAAGGCCTTACCTCCTTCTTGCGGGGCCGTCGGGTGGGTTTCGTCCTCGGAAAGGTTGCGGTGCGGACGTGAGTGCCCTGGCAGAGGAGATCTGCCAGGGTTGTGGGCGCCGGTGCAGGGTGCTGCTCGGTACAGGGCACAAGCTGCCCAGGAGCCGGCTGCCGAGAGCACGGGAGCGCTGGGACACAGCAATGAACCCTTCTTCCCCAAAGTGCTTCATTTATCACCTGCTTCTTGGGCTGGTCGAGTCTCTGGTGCCCTCTATTGTTTTACTCCCTGTCCGCTCAATGCTTCACCATCATTTTTTCCACCCCGCCTTCGCTCCCCCCCATTCACCTCACACAAACTAGCAATTAAAATTTAATATTTTCAGTCGTGGGAAAACAAATAATTTCTGAAGTAAAACCCATAATGGTTGCAAATTGCCCTTCTGGCAGCGAAAGGTCCCCTGGGGAGCACCGCAGCCCATGCAGCCTCCCGTGCGGATGCAGGGCGTGCCCCAGGTAGCCGTGCAGGGGCCCATGGCCTTTTCAAGGGGGCATGTCGGTGCTTGTGCACCCTGTGACAGTGAGCCCAGGGCGAGGGGACACAGCGTGCTTCTCTTGGGTGTCTTGACGGGGAAGGTGATAGATGTTACTGACCTGCTTGTCCTCTGCAGAGCAGCCAGATGTCTAACGGCTCCCCAGCATCACTGGGAAGCCCAAGCTGGCGATGACAGTCTCTACCAGCCAGGCACGGTCGAGAGGTACAGTGGCAGTGCACACACCATAGGTGTCAGGGCCTTTAGAAACAGGTTTAAGAACATGCCCCAGTGGTATTGTATCATCGTTCTGATGGCTTTTGCTGTCTGATAGCTGCAGCAGTTGCAGTTCTGTCTATGTAAGCCAGCTGAATGGAGCCAAGCTCTGACTCCCTCAGGATTTGCCCCACGTCTCCCAAGCTCGCAGTCCCAAAGGAGCCAACAGCAGATTGAGCAGCAGCCGTGGGCTTCCAGAAGGCAGATGTAGGTCACGGGATACTGCGTAAGTGGGCAGGGAAGACACCTCCACACTTTCTCCTGGAGCGCTCTAAGCAGTGCCTGGGCAGAGCTCAGAGGCTGTTTTGAAGGTTTGTCAGTATTTAGAAAGAAAAAAGGAAAGGGCAGTCCTAGGGAGCATTTGAATAACATGTAGGGGTCAACCCACTCCCCATCTCCCCTGACATTTCTAGGCTGCTGACTCACGGAGAAATACATTTTCCCCTTGAAAACATTAGCAGTATCAATGCGGGCAGTCTGCAGAAACCCAGACCCAGCTGTGTCCAGCTGCGGGGTCATACTCTGACCCTGAGCTGCGTCTGGGAGGGTGAACCTGGCGTCCAGCCTGGTGCCACAAAATAAACCCATGGAATAGCAATAAACTTTGTTAAAAGGGCTTCCCCATGAGTGAGAGCAGCAGCCCCTTGGTTACGGCTGCTCTAAGAGGTGTCTGTGCCAGGGCTCAGCAGTGCAGCGGGAGTGGAGCTGGCAGGACTCAGCTCTGAATTCACCTGGACTTTGTGTCTTTATGCACTGGACAAGTCTTGCTTTCATCTTAAAAGTGTTACTTCCCATCTATCCGACCCATTGACTTGAAGGGGAAGTGCAGTCAACAGAGTCCAGGCTGTTTTGTAGGGCCACATAATTCATAACATGCTGGTACTGCCTGAACCCTACCCCCCACCAGCCCACCAAAGGAATACAACAAAAATAAACTGGATTATTTTAATAATGCAAACAACCTGAAATGCATGATGAGGTAAAACATGATATATTCTTTTGTACGTGTTGGGCATAAGGACCAATTTACTTTAGCTGCAAAATGGGCTGAAAGAGGGAGACGCACACAGGTCACCTGTCTTCCTGTAAGAGTAACAAGGGGGTGCTGGAGGGCAGAATGGAGATGCGTTAACACCAGTGATTACATGCACACTTTTGCACATCTCTGTGAAATAACTTATCTGTTTAATAGAAACATAGTGTATAAATCACAATTAACTCAGTAATGCTAAACATAAAGATTTCCAGGGAGAGAGAGAGAGAGCGCGATAGTTATCCCAGTAACACTGAAGCTTGTATCTTCTCTTGATGTTACAGAGTTGTGGGTTTTTTGGGGTTTGGTGGTTTTTGTCCCTTCTGTCCCCCTTGCTTTCCTTTAGCAAGTGTGTGTCTGGAAATGGTGGATTTGATCTGTGTTTACAGTGCTGGGTTGGGGTGGTAGAAGGGCTTCGTGGAACTCCTTGGTCACAAAGTAGTAGCAGATGCTATCCAGGCAGCAGTTGGATGTGGCAATACACCTCGTCACAGAGGAGAAGTTCTTCACAACCTGGAGCAAGAAACAGGTAGCTCCGACACTCTCCATTATGAACCTGGCAAGTAACCCAAGGCAGGCTGGCAGAAAACATACTAGAAATACAATTAGATTTGCATAAATGATGTGAACAGCTTTCTGGATTGATTTCTTTTCTGGTGAATTTGTGTTCAGGCATTTCTTAAGGCTCCTGATTACTTCTGTGGAGCAAAAAGTCAAGGTTGCTAATGGAAGAGTGAAAACAAAGAAAATGGAAAGCAGGCGCTGGGAAGTGGGAGCAGTGGTATCCTTCTGAAAGCAGCCTGAGGCGTGTCTCTGCCAAAACTGTAAGGCGGCACCGATTATCACAGACACCCACAGAAGCCCACAGAGGAGGGCAGCCTTTGATGGAGACCTGAAGGTCCTGGCTTTCAAGGGATGCTTTATGGCAATGTATCGATCGATGGAGATAAATGAAATGATGTAGATGCTCACTACCATGTTGGTAAAATACATTGCCTCTATAAACTGGCAGAGTTCACCTCGGGCTGGCTTATTCCAGACCGAATAAGCCATGAAAGGCAAGGTGCAGACGACGAAGCAGTCTGCTAAGACTAAATTGATTACATATACCCTAGTTTCTGTCCACTTCTTTATCTTGAAAAAGAACACCCAGAGGGCAAAGACATTAAATAGTGCTCCAAAAAGGAACATGAGGTTATAGAGAACAAATTCAATGAGACGAACATGGTAATACAGTTCTAGATTTGTGACACTGCAGTTGTTGGACACATTCATTGTCCTCATGTGTAGATGCTGTATGATGTTCTGAGACCTGAAATGAGAAAAGACATGGTAAAAATTTCCTCATACCTCTTACTAGATGCATGGCTCCTATAAGAAAGGGTATTTAAGTAAATATTTACTTTGTTATGAATGTGAGTCGGAGTCTACAAAGCTGTCCTTCTCAGTCAGCATGTCACTGGGATGCATCCTTTGTCAAGCTTTGTTTATGTTTACTCAGTTAATGAGTAAATATCTTAAGGTACATTTTACAACAG